TGATTAGTGCGATATTAGAACCCACAATAATTGACCGTTTTAATGTTGCAATATTTTGTTTTTATCTTTGATTTGTGATGATCAATTTATTTGTAAAATTTGTTATTAACGAGTGATGCGAGTAGGTAAAAGCGATGGATGCTGTGCGATACAAGCGAGGCCCGACCGAGCAGCTGTGCGATGCATGGTTGGTGTGGGTGCAGCGGTGCTCGCTGCACCTTCTTATCTCTTGCGACATTACTGACTAGCACAAGTATTCAAAGTTTTACACGCTCAAATATTGATTTAAGTTACTCCTTGAAACTCTCATTGAACAAGTCAAGGGACGAATGTAGCTAGTCTTGGAATCAATTCCATCTTATCATGTCTAAATCTATCATTGATTTATTGTTTGGCTTTATTTAACAACCTAATTTTAAAACTCATTGCGTTGGGCGTTGGTCGATTGTTACAGTATTCTTTGGAATAAAAGTTATGTAGGATGTATAGCTAGTCCTCGAAGTTATTTTGGTAACTGCACCAGAAAATTATTGATTAATTTATATCAGGGTTCACTTGTTTGCTTCAGAATGGTGCTTACTGATTTTCGGCGATCATTCGATTGTCTTGCTTGCATGCCGTGTATGCAGTTTTGCTTCAGCTCTGTTCCAAGAGCTGAACAGTTCTAAATTATCGAGGTGATTATAATCGAGGTTTTGCGATGGTCTTGAGTTAGTGTTCGACGTTTGCTGTTACCTACATTAGTTTGAAACAGTAACTGGTCGTTAGCTGATAAATATTTCTACTTATGGTAAATTTTAGTGTTTGACCGGAGATTGGGTATATGAGACAAGTGCTGTTCTGTTTTATACCTTGATCCTGACTCACTTGGCACCTCGGGAAATGTTATGCGTTTTACACGCAGTCATTCCAGGAAGCGCAGGCAGCTGACGCAAGCATGAAGTTAGCGTGACACTCGGGACCTTCATTGTTACTGTAATTGCGTGGGGGTATTCTGTATACGGTGTTCATGTTGCTCTCGTGCCTTACCAACTCAATTGTTCTCAAATCAAGTTCCGGAATGTATCGAGAATAAAGCGATTCTTTTAGTCATTGAAATATAAAAATTTATTCGTAAACTTGCTTTTTGTTAAGAAATATTGCAGTTTTCAGTTATGAATCTCTTAGGCTTTGTCATGGGCAGTATATTATCTTCGGTCGTGCATTTGTACGTCTTGCATTTTTGCCTCCAGCACATCGTATGGAGCAACTCCTTATTCAAACATTCATTTTGCTGTTTTGCATAACAATGCACTGTTCTGAAAGAATTTCTTAATCACAGTTTATGTATACCTGGTTTAGCATGCTCCTCACGCACACACATCGCCGTCGGATATCAGCACAGAGATAAATTAATGAGACTTCGTCCGAATAGTGATTCATTTTTCTCTTGTGTGGGTCATTTCGACCAAGTTTGGCCAGCTAAAGAGCGTATCCGTGCTACATACAGAAAGTGTCACTACTTAGACAACATGAGCCAGTCATTTTTCTTAGTGAACGCTCAGTGCGCGTAAAGTGCGCGCCTCGCAGGCTCGTTAATTTCGTCCCATGCACGTACGCCTTCCTCATCGCGTTCACGTGGATCTTGAATGGATTTACTGCCAGTCTTGCTTCGTTACTTAATTTTTGCAAAATATAATATTGTGTAGAACTTTAATATATCTATTCAAACGCATTGAATGCATATAACTTTATGGCAAGTTAGATATCCTAAAATCTCCATAATGTTTGTATGTGGTTACAACTTTTTTTTAACTTTTTAAAGATTTGTGAACCCAAATAAAAATGAATGATATAAAATTAATAAAAAGTACTAGTGCGTATATTTTTTCTCAAGAATCGTAGCAGATTTATCTGGTTTCTATATATGTAAACATGTATAAGAAGGTTCTCAAATTAACTAAATTAATTTAAACTTGAAATTTCAGTTATCTGTGTGTATTTGCTGAAGAGCTTTCTTAGCTTTAATCACCATTTGTAGATGCTACTATCACCCAAGCTTCAAATCTCGTGTACAAGGAAAAAGCGTTGAAGTAAACCTGCAGCATAGAACATTATTTGCAGATGTTGAGTAACTAGGCCCAATATCTCGGTAAAAAGCAATTCCGACCGAGCAATCGCGTAGCGGGACCTTTAGTGGGACGGCCTCAGGAGTAGAACACTCGTCACGTGCCTCGAGTCTTCTCACGCCGATCTCACGATTAAATGTTCAGTTTTGCACAGTGCACATTCTACGGTGTCGATTTAATATAGTTAACGGTCGTGTTCCTCGTCGGTGATTCAAGAGCAACTGTTAGGGTCGTCTTCGGAGTTTGAATTCCCGCCCTGCTCGTCTTGTGAGAATCCTAACGAATATTAGGGGAACTGCTATTTGGTCATATTATTCTGAAATAATTTATGGACCTTCATTATTGTGGAAACAAAATAGTTTCACTTGTAACAAATGAGTTTTAATTTTGTTTGCTGTTGTGCTTTGACGTATATCTCGGCCGGATATCTGTGTATAGTGTGTAAGTGTATAGAGGCTGGAGGAAGTGCAATACTCACTTAACTTGAGTCATCTTCGACTCTCAACTAGCTCCCGCTTCTTTCCTACTATTAACTAAATAATTCATTATACTTAAATCAATCGTGAATAATTTTCGGTCTAATAAGTTTACTTATCCGCTGCATCTTATGCATAGATTTATCTCGATATGTTTTTAAAATGAATTTAAAAGCAAAGAAAACACCAAGCAAATTCACCATATCGATATTGAATGTTTTTAGATTTGGACTTATTCGCAAATGTGCATTCGTAAACAAAATAAAAAACGAGTTAATTCATACGATATAACTGATTCGTTATTTGTTATCCCACCATCTGCTTCAAGTAATTTTTTGCGAGGTTATATTGTGATGGAGGTCACTAAGTGGTGCCAGACGAGCGAGAAGTGACAACATCCCCTCGTTTGTAATTGCGATCGGACTTCCGAAGTGGAGACTGGGCAAGACGCCCAGATGTTCTTCCGGGACCCCGCGGGAGATTGAGCTGGGCACTCGCTTGTAACTTCCTTGTTTTCATCGGCTTCCGTTTTCAACTCGCGAAACAAACTTTTTATTTGATATAAAATATATTTCGATTTTGTACAGTTGATCAAATTAAATGTCATATTTCTTTTGTGTTGACATTATATTTGCCAACAAAATCTCTATTTATTAAATTGAATGCACTCATTATTTTCATCCGTATTTTTCATTTTATTTTTCCCAGATATGAATATAAAGTGTTTCGAGTTTGTCTCCAAAACATTCATATAAATTTTGAACTTCATCAACTTTAGGTTTGGACTAAAAACATCTTGTTTTACTTTTGAACGTTTACTCTATTCTGTTTTGGGCTCAGTCGCTTACCGTCCAAATGTGTCGTCTATATTGTATGCTGCCAAAATTAATATGGCTGAGGCTAATTCTAAAAAATTGATGTTCCATTCGATTATGATAGCCTGTTTTTGTCTTCAGCCAAACCTGGACGCAAGTTTCTTATCGTGAACTTGATCTCTAGGACGGACCTGCTCTTCTCTAACCTCTTTCTGACCTCTTCCAATCTAGCGTCTTCTAAAATGCATCTAGATTAGAAGGCGCGAGAGAAAGCTCCTAAAATCGAAAAAAGACGCTCCCCAAGAATCATTTAAGCTTCAGGTGCCCTGGAGGGGTATAGAGCGTTTCTTTAACCTCTTGACCGCACTGTTTTTTTTTCTCGTTAGTATAGCACAAAAAAACGCTCTTGCTTGAAAGGTCGGTGCCCGGAAACTTTTTGAAACAAAATATAGAGGCACCCTTTCCATTCCATAAAATAATGCATAAGCTCACCAAAGCTGCGAAGAGCTATAAGTTTTCTTTGTTATTTATATCCGAATTTTCATCGGGATACGATGTGGCGATCTAGAGGCATGCAAATTTCGAGGAAGAACAACACATATGAAATACTATGCAATAAAAATAAAAAGAATGGAAAAATTAGCTATGAATTTTTCGACTTTTTAATATTTAAAATAGTAAATTTGCTCAATTTTATTCGCACATAAGCAGCTTCTGATAAGCAATATTTTCCATCGTTAAATGACGTGACCGAGTAAGAAACTTTTCGTTAGATTTACTTGCATCAGCACATGAATACAAACGTGTTCATTGTAAAGTTAAGTTGACATTGGGAGCAAGGTTGCAGTACAGAAATATTTTAAAATATTAGGACTTAGATATTAATGTAAATACCTTATGTTTATGTTATTTTATTGGATAAATATTCATGTACCTGTTTGAATTGAGTTCAAACAATAGTACTTACACCCGCAGTTGACGGCCTCACAGTTGCAAGACCTTGAATTTAAGTTTCTGTACGTCCTGCTATATGACTAATACATGTACAAATGCCGTGTAAAAGAACACAAATTAAGATCGGATTCCATCCTTACATGGATACATTTATGCGTCGTCTTTGCGTGGACCTTATCTGCTAACTCGAAAATGTACCGGCCGGTTAATGACTATTACTACAAGGAATTCTTTACTCAGTTGAGTTGACTAATACATATGTACGAAAAAGAATGGCCACTATGCGTATGTTCACTCGAATATTTATTTGCAGGAGGAGCGACCAAGTAGCTTTGTGGGTGGAATTAGCATATCCACGTGAGCTGCAGTTATTTATGTTCTGCTATGCAGAATACAAAATAGATTCTTAAAAGAATAGAATGTTGCGGTTAGGGTGGCACAAAGCTCCAACGCTGTAATTATTGAGATGATAAGCAGCTCATTTACTTATTTTTAAACTCTTCGGCTAGATTTATTTGTTTAAAAATGCTTTAGATGTCTTTTATGTATCGTACTGAGAAATAATTTAAAACAATTGTCGGGCATAGAAAAAAACATCGTTTTATATTTCTGGTCACTCTCCTAATAAATTTTTCTCTTCCATGCAGGTCCTGTGGTGCCACTGAGAGTCTTGCTAAAGTGAGCCAACTGCACACCTTATCGTGCATCACGTGTAAGTTTTCAACGAATAGTCTTAAAATTTTTTACGTCTACTCAGTATTTTTGATTCCAGCGAAACCAAATTGAAAATTAGCCCTATTTATGCAAATCCTATACTTCATTAGTTCATTGATTCTCAAACACAAACAAAATTTTGTTGGTACAATTTTTTATTTTACCCAACACCTGCCAATTGCAGTTTTGAGTCACAGGGCGAAACTAAACTTTGCCTTGTCGTATTCCTCCCGGAACTTATCCGTGTCTTAACTTATCAGCAAACATGTGTGTGTACGAATTTTAAAAGCGTTTGATTATAGCACGGATGTCCGGTTTTGTTTCCGTCATTGACGGATGTTTTCTGTCCAGATTGTGAACATCTGTTGCGCGCTAAATGTCAAGGACTCGATGAACTTGGATCCCAAGTGAACGTTGGCAAGCATCTTAAGGCGATGCGCTGACATAGATACTCACTCGGTTTCTTTAGACCATTTTTGGAGGGTCACCATTCCAAATTAATTTTATAGACACCAAATAAATGTCATTCAATTTCCGTTAAATTTTATGCCTTTAACTTTTAGAGGGAAAAATATTCTATTCATACGACTTGTTACAAGTAAATCTAAAAACACAGATTTGTTATTCTCTTGAAATAAATTTTATTTATTGTCAACTATTAAGTTTTGTAGTCATTGTTTGTGAATGTTTGAACTGTTAAAAATTTTTGGCAGAAATTCTCTGGTGATAATGATAAGGCACTAGCGCCTAAAATGTTTGCCATGTCAGTTCCATTTCTATCTCAGGAGATTATTACAATTGCAGTGGCTTTCATTTTTTCTGCCTACCGAACATTAATTTGTAATCTCAAGTTCGATGTATGGTTGCGTTACTTTTTTGAGTATATTTAATTTTCACATCTGTTGAGGTTAACACTAAACAGCCGCAGGTTTGATTACATTCTGTGGAGCCAACGTTCTATGGCATTCCTGAGAACGCCAGCGCCCGGCGTCGGCCTCGAGGCTGTGTACGTGTGTGTTTTTTGTCTTTGCGGTTGCCGCGCGAGCGGCCTTACCAAGAACGCCATTCATGGACCACGCAAAGTTCAGCGGTTCGATAACCTCGATCGATCACCCGGGCCTCAGCTAGATCATTTTTTATAAAGTGTTTGGGAGTTTTTCTCTGTCAATCATCTATGTTGCAGGAAGTTAAATATTGAAATATTTGTGAAACTTCGTTACTGTTGCCATGATAGAAATTATATGTATGATATTTATCGAATTTACAATTGTTTTCATACGATGGAACATCTATTTTTCATTGAAAATATTAACTAAATAACTATAATAGTTGCATTTTTCTCCACGCTATTACAACTTCAATGCCTGTGAACACTTTACTTCGTGCCGAGTTCCTGGAAGGGGAGCGAGCGCTTCCATGGGAGCTAACACACATGGTGCCATCCATCTGAGTCAAGCTATTGCCATTTTCCCTTGACTTTTACAAAAGAAGAAAAACACACAACCTTCCGTTCCAAAAATTGCGGTTCGTCGATGCCCACTAACCTGAATTCGGAGCAATTCACGTAGAAGTGAAAGGGAGTGCGTAGCCGAGGTTTGAATTTTCCAATAGATATTGTGGCAAACTCTATAATTTTGTCAACCTTATTTCTTTGCGACTCATCGCCTGAAGGTCGGAATCATTTCGTGACTCGGTCTGATTGTCTTCTCAATAAATGTCGTCAGTTTTACTTTTAAAAACTCGAATCGAAATTAATGCTTTTTCGGCTTCGTAACTATATTATCTCAGAAATTTTAATTTATTTGTTCATTCATAACAAATCATTAATAATTTATTCATAACATTATCTTAATAATAGAAACTACGTTCGCCTTTGGGTAGGATAAAGCTCTAATATATATTAATTCATCTTTATTAATTAATTTAATATTACAAGTTCAATTGAACTCGGAACCAATTTGGGCAGAACAATGGTTAAATATCCATTCTCAGCTACAAAGATTTTTCCAACGTCCTATGGTATTTTAACACGAATTTAGGTATTAACTAGTGAAAAGGGGCATAATATTTATACGGCGCCGCCAGTTTACTCTCCCTACATACAAGTCATTGAAGCCGGAAAGCTCTAAACTGTGTGCTGCTGAAATAAAATACAATTTTTTTGTTTTAAATTGAATTTGCTGGATGTGAAGCTATGACTTTAATTAGTGTATAAGTATTGACCTGCGCGTCTTGCAATCGACAGTGTACGGTGTTCCATTCGTTCGGGTCTCTTGGATCATCATTGCGGTCTTGAACTATGACGCCTTCATACTGTCAGTAATCGCGTCAAGTTGGCCAAGGCCAAAACAGACACGTGAACACATTTAGGAGCAAAATTGGCGTTATTGCAGCGTTATTGGGATGCTGTCATTGTTACATCGTACCGTTGTTATAGCGTTACTGTTATAGCGGTGTACCGTTGTTATAGCGTTCCTGTGGTGTTGCCAAGTTGTTACAGCGTTACTGCGGTTTTGCCGTTGTTACAGCGTTACTGCGGTTTTGCCGTTGTTACAGCGTTACTGCGGTTTTGCCGTTGTTACAGCGTTACTGCAGTGTTGCCGTTGTTACAGCGTTACTGCAGTGTTGCCGTTGTTACAGCGTTACTGCAGTGTTGCCGTTGTTACAGTGCGTTACTGCGGTTTTGCCGTTGTTACAGCGTTACTGCGGTTTTGCCGTTGTTACAGCGTTACTGCAGTGTTGCCGTTGTTACAGCGTTACTGCAGTGTTGCCGTTGTTACAGCGTTACTGCAGTGTTGCCGTTGTTACAGTGTTACTGCGGTTTTGCCGTTGTTACCGCGGTGTTGCTGTTGTTACAGCGTTACCGCGGTGTTGCCGTTGTTACAGCGTTACTGCGGTGTTGCCGTTGTTACAGCGTTACTGCGGTGTTGCCGTTGTTACAGCGTTACTGCAGTGTTGCCGTTGTTACAGCTTAACCCATGAAGCTACGGCGTAGTCATGAGGTGATTGTGATCTGTATGTTACCATTGCGGCAGGAAGGTTAAATTTCAAGTCAAATATTGATGAGATCATGACGCATCTTGGGCTCATATCTGGTGGTAGCAACTGATTGATCGTAGGTTAATGCAAGGTTCTTAATTCTCATTTTTTCGTATTTTTATTAAGAAATTTTGAAAGTGGCAAATTATTAATGAGTTCACTGTTGATTAGTTAAATCTAACTACCAGGAAATCTTTGGTCTTCCCAGTGAAAGCAATTATATGCTTTCACGCACAAGAGTTCTTGAAAAAATTATACTGGCATCGTGCACATCAGAACATTAACATAAAGTCCAAAATCTACGAAACTCGTTTTTTTCTCAAGGATTTGTATGACAATCGCTTTTTCTAGTTGAAAGATCCCAACTTTTTGATGCTTTTCCACTTTGGTTTGAGTTGATAAAGTGAATGCTTTAACCTATTGATTGTATTGGTATATTAATTTTATGAGCATGGGCTTTAATTAAATTGGTTGTAGGGCTAAAGAGCTGGATGAGAAGAAAAAATATTATTTTGAAAATTTATGCAAAATTCACTATTATGTGATTCATGATTTTGAATGTTTGTATAAAGAAAGTAAAAAATTAAAGGCATTCTCTCAAGCAGCGTGTAGCAGAGCCAAGAGCGAGGCGGAAGTGAGCTTTCAGATGAAATCAATATGATGAACGATGACGTAAAGATGACTGGGTAATATTGCTGGTAATTGTACAGCAGTTGATCAGACTGCCACGATTATGCCTAGAAATGCTCCGCGTCCTTTGGGAAATTGAGCGCAATTGAAAGAAACATTTTGATGCTTGATCTCCTCGCGCTCCATGACAGCATCGGTTAATTTAACTTGAGTATTAGTTATGTCTAAACTAATTATTGATTTGACGCTTATGAAGTGAGATCTTTAAATCCATTCTCCTCAGAGCGCATCTCTAGAAGCTGTCCTGCGCACCATCTGAACTCGCGCCCTGCACCTGCTGGCAACCATCTGATCTGCATGTCTCGCGCCCTGCGCCTGCTGGCAACCATCTGATCTGCATGTCTCGCGCCCTGCGCCTGCTGGCAACCNGATCTGCTTGTCATATGCGCCCTGCCTAAACTAAGTGTATATATTTCGGGTCCGATGACGTGGAGAGGGCTTCATGTTTCACCTTAACTTTGCCATGTGGCGTTGCAAACATGTGGTGAATGCTTCTAATGCGACTTCGCTGTATCAGCTCCCTAAATATCATTTGTGAAAGCAATATGTCTTAATTGCCAGCAATATATGTTGGATAGCTACAATCAATAGGCAGCATCTGTTCGAAAAAACAGCTTCGCTCAAGCGTGAGACGAACGCAGCTGCTGAAGCGTAGAGGACAACCACGTCACTTTCATTGAATGCCAGTGAGAGTGAAAATGCGTTTTTAAATTAACAAAGCATGGTTCTGTTTGCTGTATAACGGCTTAGTTTCTCGTCGTAATTGTGGAATGTGACAGTGCATTGTATGTCTGCTATTCTTGCGTCTTATGCCTGTAAATTAACAAAGTTGGAAAAGAGAATTGTAAAAGCGACAAAGCTCTGCTACAAGGCTGCAATATATAGCAGCTATTGCTGTGTTGATTTTTTTATTGTATTAAAAAGCCGTATTTGTAGATAAATTAATTAGAAATTCTTTGCGTTTCATGAGTTGAGTGCGCGGGTCGTATCAAGGCAATTCTCATTATGAAGAAGTAATGAACAATTTGTAACACGAGATTTTACTGAATTTGCCGTTCCGAAAACGTTATAGTGGATCATTTATTGTCTAACGTTTAAAAATATATTTTTTTTATGGACCTGCATGTTGATGAATTTTTCATGTTACAGACGCAATCAATCTTACTCGGCGTAAGACCTCCCGTATTGACGCGTTTTCCCAACAGAAAGCAAAATGTGCATTCACGTCTGCAGCGAATGCGAGTGCCTCTCGCTTTCGCGGCCGCTCTT